GTGTCTGACTCCCCGCTGAGCCCCAGGCACCCAGAGCGCTGCGCACGGCAGCACGGCTCCAGGGGAGGGGGTAGCATGTCTGCCTCACCGCGGAGCCAAACGCTGCCCGCGGGAGCGCGCAGCCCTGGCCCCCAGAGCGCTGCGCGTGGTGGCAGGGCTCCGGGGGAAGGCGGGGGAGGGGCCGGCGGCTTGCTGCATTCGGCCGGGCGCTCCGGCCTGGGAGTGCGGACCCCGCGGCTTGCCGCGCTGGGAGAGTGGAACCATTTGCCCACCCCTGCATTAGGGTGTGCCTGGGCACACCCGGCACACCCTGTGTGCACGCCTATGCATGACCCTGTAGCTAATTTCACCCTGTGTCTCATGACCAACCATAACAACCAGCAGATTTTCTTCCTATTTCAACACCAACTACTTGATCTTTGGAAGACAGGAAGCTAATCAAGGGTAGGTTTATACATCTGCTTTCTCATTGTGTAACTTTTAGTTAGGCAATCTAGTACTTGCTGGATTGGATCTGTATTTGTCGTTATTCAGGATGTAGGATATTTTTGGAAATGAATACTGTTATTTTTTCCATCCCTTTAGTTTTTCAGAATTAAACAAACCTTCTCATTGTACTAGACCAGGGGTCTGAAGCTCAGTTTACCTTAGGGCCAGTGCCAGTCCTCAAATCCTCCCTGCGGGCCAATAATGTCACTGAAGATGGTGTTCATACCACCTCCCAGCCTGTTTTCCACCCTTTTCCCTTGCTCTCTTGGCCTCATGCCCTGGCTGACTCTGCCCAGCGACTAGTGATACTGCCTCCATGGCTGACTCTGCCTGGCAACTAATGATGCTGCCTCCATGGCTGACTCTGCCCAGCAACTAGTTATGGTACCTCTATCCCTCTCCCCCAGCCAAGGGGAGCTGGAGGGGGGCGGTACCTGCAGCAGACAGCCGGCAGCTTGGCTGCATAGGTCTCAGCTCCGCCTGCAACAGCAGGGATAGGGAACCGCTTGCCGGGAGCTGAGCTCCCCGAGGTGGATGACACGTTGCCGAGTGCAACCCCTGGGAGGGTCCCAGGAGCAGCAGGATGGAGCAACGTTGGGGGAAGGGGCATGTGAATCTCTCCTGCACCCTCCTCTCCCGCCTCCCCCACCACCCTCAGCCAGCAGCCATGAGGGCCGGATGACGGAACTTTTAAAAAAGTTTCCATGGGCTGCAGTGGGGAGGTTCTTGGGCCACAGATGGCCTACAGGCTGGGACTTTGAGACCCCTGTACTAGACTGTGTGTATTTCTAAACTAAACAATGAGACTGAGGATGTTGTTATGCATACAATTCAACAGATGTAACTGAAAAATGTATCCTGTCAATCTCGCTTCTTTCTAAATATTTTAAAACTTTACTTAAGTAGCATTTTTCATTTTTAATACCAATCATCCAAGATTTACAAAGCTCTTTAAAGCCATTCATGCTTGACATTTTGGAGGCAGGTTAGGATGCCAGTAGAGTGTGTCAATCAGCTTGGAAGAAGGTCAGGCTGGGCTGTGGTTCACACTTAGGGAAACATGGCAGACCCCGTAATAAATAATTGATATTAATTTCACTGTAGGCATTGATGTCTGCAAATTCAAAAAGATAACATTGCATTGTTTTCCATTCAGTTCACATTTGGAAGATTTACATCAAGTTCACATGCAGAAAGTGTATCTTTGCATCCATAATGTATCGAAACATTTAGTTTAGTGAAATCTTAAATTCTGCAAAAATAGATAGCTTAAATAGCCCCCTTTCTTTCTTACATCGAGTTCCCTGTGGGTGATTGTCTGGACTTTTAAAACTGTATATTCAATACAGTAAACATCCCCCTTGTGCTGTCTTCTCTCTAATTTCTGTCTGTAACCACTCTTCTGTGTATGTATATTCTGGATGTGTACCAACAGTTTTCCCTGACTTTGAAAATTGTCATGAGTTAAGATCACAAGAGCCTTCAAAGTGGATTCAGCCTGTTATGCTGAGCAGATTTTCAAAGTGAAAACATGGGACTGGCAGTCTGGGAATGTTTATGGATTGTTTTTGGAGGCAGTCAGGGAGGTGTGAAGCAAGGGTTTTGGCAGCTGGGGGATAAAGGACAAAAAGGGCTGCCCACTCCACCTCTTCCTCATATTTTCTATGCTTTTGTTTTCTATTTTTCTCTTTCCTCATTTTTCCTGTGGTCATTTTGCCTCTTTTTCAGCATCCTTCAGTTTTCTCCCCTTTTAACCTTCCCTCACTCTCTCTACCATAATTATTCATTTTAGTAGTAGTATTTGAAATACTGTAGCACCTAGGAGCCTTAGTCATGGACTGGGACCACATTGTGTTAGATGCTGTGCAAAGACAGAACAAAAAATGGTCCCTGCCCCAAAGAGCTTACAATCTAAGTACAAGACAAGAGACAACAAATAGATACAGACAAACAGGGGAGGACAAGGAAGCAATGAGACAGTATTGGTTAGCATGTAGGTAGGTGTCTCAGCGCACCAGCAGCCCTATCTCCCTTTTATTCTTAGTCCTTTATTCTACCCCAGTTCCAGAGGCCCTACCTTAATCCTCTGCTCATCTGTGGTGCAAGGAAGCTGGTCAGACGCATGAATCATACTAGGCAAGCTTAGTAATTACCTGCATATGGCTGCGCAGATCATGTGATCTGCCTGTCAGCTCATCATTCACTGCACTGCCCAGACTTCTGCTCGGAACCTTCATGACTAAGGCAAAGCTGGGTGACATGTGACAGGCCTGGTGATTCTGTATTCCTTAATATGTGAGCACTTAGCCAACCCGTTATCAGTCTCACCTTCTCAGCTGGCGGATGACTTCTTTAGCTGGTCAGAGTCAGAAGGGATATACAAAAACTGTGACAAAACACTATTACTGGTTTAAAAAAAAAATTGACTGGGACAAGCCCTGAAAACAGTGACACAATCACACTAGTTTACAAGGCCAAGTATTCACTTCAGTGAACACTTCATCCAGTCTTAATTTATGCTTATCAAAGTGGAATAATGGAGAAAAGTATTAGGACTGCTGATCTTTTGTACAAATTTGTATATTGTTTCTGTCCCGAGGGCTTTGATTTTTGTCATGGGCATAATGAGAAGGGCATAAGGAAAATCTAAAAACAGTCAAATCACAACAATCTACATCCTGAATGCCCTTTACGTTTTCATTAGGCCATATAACTGCATATGCTGTGAAAACGTTATTTGTATAGCACAGTCAGTGTTCCAGGTACTTTATGAAAAATACACAAAAAGGCCTTTGCCCTAAAGAGCTTGTAAAAAGAACAGATAACAGTTTCTAACATAAGAGTTGCTATTCTGAAACCTACTTTACCTTTGTAAAATAAATAAAATATTTACTTGCTATGGGATGTAGAATGTTGGAACTAGTAGGGGAAAGGGCAGAGGAGATGACCTCAGTGGGAGTTTACTGGTCTGGTCCCATTTCTCTCTATTAGCCTCCCAGGATTTAACGTAGCAACTCCCAATTAAATTTGTTCATCTGTTTACTATTAACAGCTACCCAAAAAAAACCCAAATGTCAAAAATTATAATTATATATATATATAAAAAATTGTTGGATCCACAACAGCTGCCTGAAAAATCCATTCTGAATTATATACTGGATTAATTCATTTTCCCAGGGCAAATGTGATTTGGTCACACAGTCCACACATGTTAGCCACGTGATTTTATCTTTCTGCATAGTCAAGGCCTAAGAGAAGCTTAATATGAAGAAGCAATCAATGCGTATTTCAGTTTTCTGCTGCAAAACACTTTTAATATAAGCACTGCAAGCTAGTTTCATACGGGGAGAATGTGAATGCACAGGTTTCCTAAAGCCTTTGTACATTTTATGGTTTCTCTTGGATGTGCATATGTAATCCCCATTTATGTCAATAACATTTAGACATCCACTGACAGAAAATGGGCTCCTGGGGTTTTTGTTTGAGATGCAGAACCTGATTTGTTATAATGTAATGGCAAACAGAAATGGGGAAATCATGGCTTTGTCATGGTAAACAAATGCAATAAACAAAAAGGCAACATTCTGGCACTGTTTAATTAAGTGATTTGTTATGATAAATTATATGAAAGATGATATATTTTATAATAAAAATTATTAAAGCTAGTTAAAAGATTTTATATTAGATATTAAGACACCCAAACATTTGGGAATTTATTAAGCCAAATTTGTAAACATTCATGGAAGACTCGTGCTAAGAAAAGGACTGGCTGGGATGACAAAGATTGATTTTAACAAATAAAAATAAGCCACAAATCAAAATCTTCTAAGATGGTCATTGACTTTTGGGTACCCACCTTCCACTCGTTTGTCTAGATATGCTGACCATCTGCAGCTTCCATTGAGTTCAGTTGGAACTGAGTGCTCAGCAGTTATGAAAAACAGGTCCAAGAGGTCTCAAGTGAGGAACCCAAAAGTTGAGGCATACAAAATCAGTGACGAAACATATAAACTGGATAATAATACACCAGTTCTCTGAAGACTGCATTGACTTCCTATTTGCTTCTTGGTGAAATTCAAGTGGTTGACTTTGATATATAAAGCCCTCAACAGTGTGTGTCCTGGCTGCATGAGAAAAAAGAGTTTTCAATTTGTGTCATTGTAACAATTTTCTCAGCCCGAGCCCTCTTTCTAACAGTATCTAGATTTTAAACACCGGAGGACTCGTGGCTGGGCATTCTCCATAGTGAACACTGAGCTTTGGACCTTGTTTTTCCCAATTGACTAATAGAACCAGAGTCTATTAACATTTAGGATACAGTGCAAAGCCCCTCTGTTGTCTCAAAACTTTGACTGAGCATGTAACTGGCTACATATTCAGCTTATTTTAGTGTCTACTTCTATAATGTATATGCAAATAAGGACATCGGTGGCGCAAGTGAGGTTTTTTGCTCATTTAAGAATAAATTAAATTGTACAATAACAAAGCTTATGAAAGTTTGCAGAACATTAATAAAAATATATGATATAATCATCGTGACCATAGAGAAAGCTATTATTATTACTTTTCTTTCAGGTTTAAAAATGTCTGATAAGAAAATAATTATGAACAGAGCCCATTATATTGAGAAGCTACTCTCTGAAAACAATTTCCAAGATATTGGAAATCACCTTGCAGAACTTGAAGCTGTTGATATGACTATAGAATATCTTCAGGAGACTGATGTTGCCAAAGCTGTGTACAGAGTCCTCCAGAACTGTCCTGCAATAATATTGAAAAAGAAAGCAAAGCATTTATTATCAAAGTGGAAGACACTTTACAAGAATAACTATCTTTCATCGATACAAGGTAAAAAGTCAGTTTCTGAGAGTGTGAAAGAGCACAATGAATATTTCAGTGTGGCTCCACAAGAACAAACTGAGTTTTCTGAAGAATTGAATCAGCATGAAATGTTAGATGCTGCTGGCTCTAACAGTTTGCTAACATCACAAAACGTTCCAAAAGATGAAGTGTATAATAAGCCAAAAAGCAGTGTGAATCAACTGGGTCTTTTAGAAGAACAGTGCACTGATAATGAAGACACTAAACCTGCTGGCAGTGAAACAAGCCCACAGCAAGAACATGTGAAGGCCATGAGGTTGAAATGCACAGAACTTATTTATAAAGCCTTGACTGATTCTGCCACAAGCAAAGAGGAAGCCAATAAGCGGCAAGAATTATCCAAAGAAATTGAAGAGCGTATTTTTGCTCTTCATGCTAGAAATGACAAAAAGTACAAAAATTGTATCAGAAGCAAAATCTCTAACTTGAAGAATCCTAAAAATTTCCACTTAAAACATAACCTATTTTCAGGGACTATGAGTCCAAAGACTTTTGCTGAGATGACAGTGATGGAAATGGCCAATGATGAACTGAAACAACTCAGGGCTTTGTACACAGAATCATCTGTTCAGGAACATCAGCTTCCCCAAGTTATTGATGGCACACAGACCAACAAAATAAAATGTAGGCGCTGTGAAAAATTTGATTGCAGTGTCACTATGATTGCCAGGGGAACTCTCTTCCTTCCTAGTTGGGTGCGAAATGCAAATCCAGATGAACAAATGATGACTTATGTTATTTGTAACGAATGTGGAGAGCAGTGGTACCACAGCAGATGGGTTTGTTTGTGATTATTAATCCTTTAATGAATATCACTTAAAAGTGAAAAACATAAAATAGATATCAGAAGAAAAGTGTGTTGGGATTATTTTTAAATTTGTTTTAGATGTTTATAAATCCGTGCTATTGTGCAGACACAGCAAATAATAATTTGTAGGATAATAGCTAAAATATAATGGTCATAAAATCATTTTGGAAGTTGTTTTGAAATCATTATTTGGCTTTTAAATTTTTAAATTTTATTTTCTGTAAGTATGTAAAATATGCATTGTGTGGTAACATAATTTAGTGGCAAACATATTTGCGTGCTTGTTACAAAGATTTCTTGGTATTTCAAAACAGTTAAGGACTTATTTTCAAAGGTATTGAACACTGTAGTTCTTATTAAAAAAACAAAGAGGAGTCCTTGTGGCACCTTAGAGACTAACAAATTTATTTGGGCATAAGCTTTTGTGGGATATTACCCACTTCATCAGATGCATGGAGTGGAAAATACAGGAGCAGGTATAAATACATGAAAAGATGGGAGTTGCCTTACCAAGTGTGAGGTCAGTCTAACGAGACAATTCAATTAACAGTAGGATACCAAGGGAGGAAAAATAACTTTTGTAGCGGTAATGAGAGTGGCCCATTTCAAACAGTTGACAAGAAGGTGTGAGTAACAGGAGGGGGAAATTAGTATGGGAGACATTAGGTTTAGGTTTTGTAATGAGCCAATCACTCCCCATCTTTATTCAGGCCTAATGTGATTGTCTTCAGTGAGATTTGTGGATGCTCAACATTTATGAAAATCAGGCCATTAGTACAGTTTAAGCAAATTAATTGCAATACTGTAATTAACACTTTTTTTCCAGGATGAACACTGAAGAATGTCCAACACAGACCTGCTCTGTAATTAAATGAGAAATCACTTGCAAAAAGAGTCGGATTATTTCTCTAACCAATTTAATCATGTTTAAGTAGAATGATAAGCTACCAAATATAAAAGATACAGGGGAGAATGGTAGCAAATTAAAGCAAAAATGGTCTTGGATGTAAACTGTTTGATAGCTAAGCAAAAAAATGCTTCTTTAAAAGAGATCCCAGATCAGACATAAGTATGACATAGAGCAGTGGTTCTCAAAGCCGGTCCGCCACTTGTTCAGGGAAAGCCCCTGGTGGGCCGGGCCGGTTTGTTTACCTGCCACGTCCGCAGGTTCGGCTCTCACTGGCCGCGGTTCGCCGCTCCAGGCCAATGGGGGCTGCAGGAAAGGCAGCCAGCACATCCCTCGGCCCGCACCGCTTCCCGGAGCCCCTATTGGCCTGGAGCGGCCAACCGCAGCCAGTGGGAGCTGCGATCGGCCGAACCTGCGGATGCGGCAGGTAAACAAACCGGCCCGGCCCGCCAGGGGCTTTCCCTGAACAAGCGGCGGACCGGCTTTGAGAACCACTGCTATAGAGTATTATATCAATTTGAGGTCCAAACTTGCATTTTAACATGGTACGCATTACACCTGGTAGTAAGCGTTTGCAGAATTAGAACCCCGAGGGCCTGATTCAGGAAATCACTTATGCACATTATTAAATCATCCTTATTCAAGAAATTAAGGGATGAAGTTAATGAGACTTAAGCATATGTTTAAGTGCTTTCCTGAATAGACATGTTTTCCTGAATTGGGGCCTTAGTTACTAATTACAATATGTTACATTTTTCCT